TTTTTTTTTTTTTTAAGTTACAGTTTCATTGTGGTTGTGATTTTGCCTGTTTTTATTCAATGCTACAATTTGCTGTGCAAGTTTAAAAAAGAAAATTCAAAAATTTCTCAAAGCTATATTTCTGTATTTTTTTTTACAAACGATAAAAAAAATGTGGAAATTTGTACTAAAAGATAAAAAGTAAATGTGGAATTTGAACTACACACATCTTAGCAGTAGAATGGATCTTCTGATTATTGGTTTATTTACACATATTTAACATCCGGCATAAAGATATAAGGTTAAGTTAGGAAAACTAAAAGTAAAGTTATAACAGATTGATCTGTCGTTAGCTCTACTTGTATCCGATCCAAAAAAATCATACTGATATTAATAGGGAAAAAAAAAAGTAGTCTATAGTCGATTAGCTGAAATTGGATTGTAGACTGTTTTGTCCGTTGATATGATATAATTTAATAGATATGATCCGCAATTTATGAATAATTCATTTTCATTCCTTCTTCGATATATTTTATCAAGCATTTCGTAACAGTTAGGTATGTAATGGAAAAGAAAATATACCGAAGGATTATTCATTCCCAGTATACTATCCTTTTACAGTATATTCCGATGTAGTATTCAATTCCCAGTGTATTTCCAGTATTTCCAATACAATATTTCAATATAGTTCAACATAGTAAACTTAATACTGTTAACCGTTTAACAGTTTCATAGTTGTGTAGTAAAATTTTCAAAAAACTATTGTAAATATAACTATTATCAATGTTAGCAAAAGATAAATTTAAATGGAATGGAATACTTTTCTTTTTATTTATTTACTTTCTTATAAAATGAAATTTCTATTTTTGATTTTTAATTTTTGAGAGGAATTAAAAATTGTTTAAAATCAGATATATATATATATATATGTATCACTTGTCTGCTTTATTCCTCTATCACAGACAATTATTGACCAATTAATTCCAACTTTAATTTTAATTTCGATTTTAGTTTGGATGAAGAAAAATGATGCAACAAGGAATTGTTTTGATTTAAGAAGTGATGAAAAAAATAAAGAATTCACTATTTCAGAGAAATAAAGGAAGGAAAAACGAAAATAACATAAAAATTATTTTTGTAAAATGTATAAGAAGAAATAAAAATAAACAATTTCTATCAACAATAATCACCTTTCCGTTATTTATTTACATTTGATAATAATTAAAAATAAAATTTGCATATTTAATTTAATATTTTTATTTAATTTAATATTTAATCTAACATTCTTATATTTATTTTAATATTTTTACTTTTGTTACAAATAAAAATCTATTGGAAAAGTAATTTTTTTCATTTCTAATGTCATCGAATTCTTTCTTTTTTTTTTTTTTTGCTATCGAATTTCCGAAATTACGTTTACTTCTTCAGTGAGATCTGTTATTTGTTAGTGATACAATTGAAGTTACAGGTAAGGCATAGTTATTCGATGCTAAGTTATTAATTAATGCGATCAAAATAATTAACTAAGAATTCCGTAAAGTTGTATAAATAATAATGTAATTAGCTTTCATGTAAACATTCATTAAGGTTATCTTATTTTAATGAATGTTCACGTAAAAGCTAATTGCATTAATTAGAGAAGACGCGAAGAAATGATGAAAAATCGATACCATGAAGGAAAAGTTTGAATTAGAAGAAAGTAATATAAAGAAAAAAAGAACAATCGGAGAAATTATTTCATAAGAAAAAATATATGAAAAGAAAACGGATGATATTTCCGGAAAAGAATACCATTGGATGATATTTTCTTCGTAAAAATATATTTTTAGATGAATGAAAAAAAAAAAAGGCAAGATGATCAAAAGAAAATAAAAAGAAGGGGAAGAGAGGAAGAGAGAGAGAAAGAAAGAGAAATCCGGAGAAGAAATTTCCCAAAATACCATACAAAATGAGAAGATTAAAGGTAAGTAAAAAAAAAAAAGTAAGAGGGGAAGAGGAAAAGAGATCTAGATCCGTCAAAGAAGTTTCCTGAAATACCATATAAAACATAAAGATCAAAGGAAAGTAAAAAGAAGGGGTAAGAGAGAGAGAGAGAGACGGGAAAGAAATTCCCGGAAATACCATATAAAATAAGGTCAAAAGAAAGTAAAAAGAAGGGGGAGAGAGAGAGAGAGAGAGATTCGGGAAGGAAATTTCTGGGAGCATCATATAAAGGCAAAATGATCAAAGGAGAATAAGAAATAAGTAAGAAAAAGAGAGGGATTAAAGATTTTTGCTATTTTTATGATAGTTTGAAAGGAATAAGTAATGGAATCGAAATTATATTTACGTTTTTTTTTCCCGCCCCCCCCCCCGCCCACGCCCCTGCCCCCGCCCCAATGATTTGCATAACAAAAATAACAAAAAATTTTTCGTTTTCATTATTTATTGATGTGAATTATTTGCATTCTAATATTTGTAATTGTTTTATACGTGCTAAATCTACATGAAAAAACGGTTCTTGTCATACATTTATCATCCGGAATTCGGATAACCGATTAATAATCTAATATCGAACCGTTTAATATTGTAATGACTCTAGTTTTTAAAATAAAACAAGAAAGCATTTTAACTTAACATATTAGAGCTCGAAAATTTGGATAACCATATTAAAATATCCCAGTATATGGAATAAATTTTTAATTTAAACAAGAAATATATGTTATATTATTGTGTGCATAGTTTTTTTACGTTATATTCTTATGAGATTCAAAATTTTCATAACGTTGACGAAACATCGATCCAAATACAATTGATGTAACCTATCGATTTGTCTAGCTTCATAGCAATATCTTTGGTCCATATTTCTCATAGTATCTTGTATTGAGCGGTTGTGCGGTCAAGGGTTGCATGGTAAGTTTTGGGCATATTCCAACTTTGAGTTGTTGTTAGGGTGTATTTTAATTAGTTGACTTTGTTCAAATTATCGTATTTTAGCAGTAGTGGTTGATCTTTCAATAAATGAACAGTAAATGCTGTAAATTTTGCAAAAACTGTCGATTTTTTCAATTCTTGAAATTCTCTAATATTTTATGCTGATAACAGACTCATCAGAAAAGGCAGTGGCATTGATGAGTGATTCGGAACGAGCTAGATTGGCCAGAGAAATGGATGATGATTTGGATTATTTTCTTGGTGGCCTTACCAAACAGGTCCCTTTCTTTTTGTTCCCATCAATTTTTTTTTTCCCATGTATCTTTTGTATAACGAATAGTTGAATCGATCTTCTGTGTACCTCCTATTTAGCGGGCAGTCGAATTGATTCATATCTTTCTACTATATTTGTTGCGCTGTATGGTTGAGCTTGCCTATTCTTCTTAGTTTCGCCTTATTCAAACAGATTAAAGTGAAATTTCCCAAATTATCTGCTATTCCCAGCAGTAGTAACTCTTATGTAAATCAGCTCCTTGTTTCTTGCGGCCCTGATAAAGGAATAATAGTGATTGTTTTATAAGGAGTAGTAATGTTTAGAAGTAGTTATATATATATATATATATATATATATATATATATATATATATATATATATATATAT